ACCAAACAAACCCAGAACTTTAAATATCTCAATATAAGCAAAAATGGACTTAAGCCGCCTTTAAAAATAAACGACTGAATTATAGAAAATATTAATTTATATACTGTTTTGCTTTACGGAGGCCTACGAAATCGGCGGCTAGTGTCGAGTTGAAACAGTTTTTTTGCTACATTTATAATTTTGAAATTTGTGGCATTCGGTGGGACTGAAAGGGGATTATTTATTATGAGTTGCTTCCATATGGCCAAACGCTAAATTCTGATCTCTACTGTCAACAACTGGGCCGTTTGAAGATAGTAATTGACCAGAAATGGTCAGAATTGGCCAACAGGAGAGGTGTCGTGTTCCGTCAGGACAACGCTAGGCCACACACATCTTCAGGGACTCGCCAGAAACTTCGGGAGCTTGGTTGGGAAGTTTTAATGCATCCGACATACAGTCCGGACTTGGCACCAAAAATTGGTTTCTAGGGAGGATTGTGAAAATCGACTACTAGATTTTTTTTACAAATAGAGAGCAGGACCTCTATGAGAGAGGCATTATGAAGTTACCTTTAAAATGGCAACAAGTCATACAACAAAACGGTGCATATTTGGCCCAAATCTGAATAAATGTAATAGATTTCCTTTTCCCCATCCTAAAATTACGTTCAATTAGCGATGGAACTGCTGATTATTGCCGATTGCATAAGTTTGATATGTCCTCAGCTTCTCGAGACTGAGTCGATCACAGATTATGACTGACAGTTCGGGTATTACCTCTGCATGTTTCCTCTGCGGACTCCTCGGAGCGTACTAGAATTAGTGGATAAGTATCATATTTGATGGCGTAGGGGATGATAGATACCAAGCAACGGCTTTGGTTCTAACATGGTAAAGCCCAGGGTTTTGAAGAATCCCGTAGCGTATAGGGCAACCCTGCAAACAATATGAACACGTAATGTGATTGAGAATTATCGGGAGAACAGGAGAGAGAAGAAACGAATTTTTAGAAACAAAAAATAAAAAATTACAAGGAAAACGTGAGCGGGAGCAAATCGAGATGTACAGTAAAACACCAAACCGCAGGTTTTAATGCATGCATATCCTCCTCTATAGATGAAGAAGTAAATCTGGTGACAGATACAGACAGCGTATTGAGGATCTGGAAAGAGCATTTTGAAAAACTTCTGGTATCAAATAGTGGCGGTAAAGAGGACACCCCAGAACCAACAAGAGATGACGGTATAGAGAGTGTATAGCACCTAGCCAAGATTAGGTCAGAATATCAATCAATCAGCTGAAGAACAATAAAACAGCAGGAGCCGATGGGTTACCAGCCGAACTATTGAAGACTGGTGGTCAGATGCTGGTTAGGAGCATGCACCAGTACAATTTGGCTAGAGGAATGCATGCCCAATGATTGGAACCTCAGCATCCTGTGTCCCGTGCACAAAAAAGGAGACAAGACGATATGTGCGAACTAAAGAGAAATAAGTCTCCTTCCCATCGCATATAAAGTGCTATCCAGCGTACTTTGTGAACGGCCGAAGCAAATGTTCAATTACATTATTGGACTATACCAATGTAGATACCGTCCTGGAAAATCCACCATTCAACAGATTTTCACTCTGCGACAAATTCTGGAAAAGACTCACGAAAAACACATCGACACATTCCACCTATTCGTCGACTATAAGGCCGCATTCGACAGCCGTATGCGAAGTGTTTAAAGCCAAGTCTGCGTTCGGCATTCATGCAAAATTAATAGGCTATGCAGGATAACTTTAACTGGCACAAGATCAGCAGTTAAAGTCGGAAAGGACCTCTCGGAACACTTTAATAACGAACGAGGATTCAGACAAGGTTACAGTTTGTCGTGAGACCTTTTTAACATCCTGCTGGAAAGGTCATACCAGAGGCTAAGGTGATCAGAAATGACACTCTTTACACCAAACAGAATATGTTACTCACCTACGCCGACGACATCGATATAATGAGTCGAACATTGCAAGCGGTAAACAAAGTATGATTGGCAGTAAACGCCGAGAAGACCAAGCTTATGGCATCAACGCGTAAGACGTTCAGTAGACTCGGACCAATTGCGAAACATGAGAACTACAGCTTCGAGGTAGTCAAAGATTTCATATATCTTGGTACCGCCATAAATAAAACTAAAACATCTATTTAGAAATTCGAAGAAGGATAGTGATGGCCATCAGATGCTTCTATGGCCTAAGTAAGCAGTTTAGAAACAAGGCCACTTCCCGCCAGATTAAACTCACACTCTACAAGACGCAGATACTACTCGTGCTGTTATATGGATCTGTAGCATGGGTACTTGTGCAAGCAGATGAGGCAACCTTTGGAGTGTTTAAGAGAAAATATCTCTAGGCCGATCTTCGTCGACAGTGAATATTGGCGTCGAATGAACCACGAGCTTTACAATCTAGACGCGAACATCGACATAGTCAGTCGTATTGAGCTGCAGCGACAACGGTGGCTAGGCCATGTTGTACGATGAATGAGAATGCTCCAGCTCAAAAGGCATATAGAAGCGAGCCTACTGATGGTTCACGCATCAGGCCATGAATTAGATGGAAAGATCAAGTAGATAACAATATTTCGGAACATAGTCCTTTAAATTGGAAGAGATGCGCACAAGACCGATGCGCTTGGAAATCTTTTTTTTTAAGCTCGGCTTATGGAACAACAGTTCTGTCACAAGCCAACTACGTAAAGTAAGTAAGTAATAACATGAGTTAAAAAAATCAGGGTAAAAACGTGAAAATTGATTACTCCCCTCGAGTTATAGTGCACATCAACCCGCCAGACCAACTGTCATTTGTAAATCGGCTCCAAATTTTCTGAAAAGAATTTGGTCCAAATAAACATGGTGTTTAAAACCTATATTTCGATAAGACACATTTTTGCCGTAGCAAAGTATATATACCCTCGGTAGACATAGAAATATTCAGAACTCGAGTAAGGAAATAGTCCAAACTGTACTAAAATGAACCACATGTAACTAGTTCACTGCTAATTTTCAATGAATCATTTAATCGAACTGGGAACAACCCTTGACATACCACCGAACGTTGTTTTGGGATCGTTGGGATTTGGTTTCCACTAGAACATGCGTAACCAAATATCCCAAATCTTAACAAAATTTAACGACCTCGAGTGAACTATTTGGTTCATCGTTTGCAATATGCGAATATTTCATCGTACTTATAGTTTGCAATACAATCACAAGTTGAAAATAACAAATAAAGGGACAGAGCTCATGAAAATAGTCTAAAATATGAACTGATCTTATATGAACTACACCGTACTAGTTCACAAGTCAGTTTCAGTGAATCGTTCAATCGAACGACTTGATTCGTGATTTCTAGAAGAGATCTAAAATCATCATCATGATATGGTGCAAAAGATTTCATAGTCAGTTGAAAGCATCCATAAGGGCACGATAAACTTCTCAGAATTGGAACGTAACATAGCCTATACTTTTAATGATGTTTTGAAAGCCACTGCTGTTTTGGTTTTTTTGGTTGAAAGCATTTTAACAGCTCAGGTGAAATTATTTGGACCATTATGGCTCACTTTGAAAATAGTCGTACTTATGAACGGAAGTAACATGAACTACACTGAACTAGTTCATAAGTCAGCTTCTGTGAAGCGTTCAATTGAACGACTTGAATCGTAATTTCTATCTGTGATCTAAAATCTTCATCATGGTATGGTGCAAAATATTTCATAGTCAGCTGAAAGCATCCATAAGGGCAGGAGAAATTTCTCAAAATTGGGACGTAACATTACCGATACTTTTAATGATGTTTTGGGAGCCAATCCGGTTCAGAGCTCACAGGAAATATCTTCAGATTGTATGGCTAAATTTAATGAAGATTTGGTTGCAATTATTCTAACAACTCCGGATGAAATTATTTTAAAAGCTCGGGTGAAATCTTCTGGGCCATGATGGCTCCCTTTTAATGTGGTCTACTGTGTACTGCTTGTATATGTATAACCTCCCGAAACTGGATATATTACTGAGTCCGCCAGTAATCATTAGTTCACCATAAAAATTGAACACACTTTAAATATTAATAATTGTTATTACTATTTTTTATGTTGCAAAAAATTAAAACATTTAAGCCATTTTTACTAATTTATTTTGTTTTTGTACGCTTTTCAAAAGGACTTATTGTTAAACAAAAAGATACCAAAAGCTATTTATATATATAGAGAGAGTGAGGAAGGAGAGGGGGAATGTAGAAAGATTTGAAAATAAAAACAAAGTTATTGAAATTTTTAACTAAACTAACTGGCGATGATTTTTTTTTAATATTGAAAAAATATAAAAAAAAATATTTCAAGTGCTTAAAAAGGCCTAACCAATAATAATAAAAAAATGTTTTCCTATTTTTTATAATATATTATTTTTTTAATATATAATAATTATATAATACTTAATACCTATAATTTGTATATTAAAAAAATCACAACCTAGTTTCCATTATTTTTTTGAATTTGTACAACACGTTTTTTTGCACTGTTACTCACAAGTCAAATCGAAATCACGTGAATGATTTCATTTAACATGGTGTAAACAGTGTGTGAGTGAATGATTGTTTTTAATTATTTGTTTTTGTTTTTGTATTTTATTTAAAAAAAGTGATTATTATTAAAAAAATTGTGTTGTAGAAATTGTTCTTGTTGTTGGTTTCTGTTTTTAAAATTAGTGTTGTTGTGTTAAATATGTGTAAATAGCTGTGGGTGAAGGGGGGTTTTCAGTTTTTTTTTTTTACTTTCAAGTAAAATTGTTTTGGGGGAATTTAAGCAGTTATTATGAAGAGAGAGTATAGTTGGAGTGTTAATATTTTTTGTTATTGTTTTTTTTTTCTTGTAAAGCCTTTTTTATTATTTTGGTAGTGGTGGTAGTAGTAGTATTTTTTGTTTATATTTATAAAAAATAGTTTTGCTTTTTGTTTTTGGTTTTGTTTTTTATATTCGTTAACTTACCTATAAATAAGAAAAATATAAGTAAACCTAATTCCCGCATAGAGGCTTTGAGAGTTCGTCCTAAAATTTGTAAACCCTTCGAATGCCTAGATAACTTAAATATTCGAAATACTCGAACTAATCGTATCACTCGTAATATTGCCAAGGACATAGCCTGATTCGATGACTTGTCCTAAAAATTACAATTTAATAACGTATTTTACAACAATTAATTGAATGAATATTTTTTGTTTTTTTAATATAAATAATAATAATGAGTTTAATAACAGTTAATTATTTATAAACAAAAAAATTTGAAATTAAATAAAAAGTATATATTTATATGGTAATAACATTGACCAAAAAATAAAAAAAATATTTTTTTTTAAATAAAAAAAATAAAATTTGTTATATATTTATATATAAGTTATATGGTATATATATATTGATTGATTGTAGTATTATTAAATATATATATATTGTATGTAAAATTAGTTAACAAAACAAAAGAACAGGCATTTCAATAAAAAAATTATAAATTTTCTTTTAAAAATCATAATTTTTTCAATTGTTTACTGTCACAAAAAAACTAAAAACTCAATTTGCAAAGAATTGTTGTTGTACTAGAATTTTGTTGTATTTTTTTTTTCAAATTATATTTAATTTATTTATTTTTTTGTTATTTTTCCAAATATTAATTTTGTGTATGTTGTTATTGTTGCTGTTGTAATGTAACATTTAACACAATAATAAATATTCAAAAATAGCAACAAAAAACTGAAAACAAAGTCAAGGTCGGTGTGTGGGTGTGTGTGTGTGTCTAAGTACATATATGTGTGGGTGTGTTTGGTCCAACGTTCGTCTGTCTGTGTTGTATCGTCATTTCAAACTTGTGTTACGTCCATTTTGAGTTTTTAGATATTTTTTTTCATATATATGTTGTTGTAATATATTTTTTGTTGTTGTTGTATTTTTTTTCTTTCATTCTTACAAAGACATGTAAACAATTTGAACGTACCTGTGGACTAACTGGCGCTTTTGGAAGATTTAATGTATCCTCCTCTTCGGCTACGACAGTACCCAATGTTATGAAATAAGGAATGATGGCGATTATGTCGATAACATTCATGACATCCCTGCAGAAATTTAATTTGTTCGGACATGCGAGGAACCTATTTGTTTTGTTTGTTGTTGTTTGGTTGGTTGATTGGTTGGTTGTTGATTTCGAATATTCCAAAAAAATAAAGGTAGACGATGGATAATTTGAAATAAAGATTATTTTTTTTTGGTTTGTAAAGAGGTTAGGGTTTGTTGTTGTTGTTTTTGTTTGTTAGTATAAAGAGCAGAAAGAGAGTGGGTTTTGGAAAGTTGTAGTTGTTGTTTTTATAAAAAGAGAGGTAGTGTTTTTGTGGCGTTAGCATTAAGTGTAGTAGTTAAAAGCTATGGTTCTTTGCCCAATGGGATATCCGTAGACAAATAAAAAATATAGAAAAAAATACTTCATCCGATAAGGAGAGACTAGTAGATCCATTGTGTGGTCTTCTATAGTTGAAACTTTAAGGATTCGTCTACAGAATTGAAGACCTTCTGAAAATATTGTAAATAGTAGATTACCTTTTCAGGTTCTTCCACAGAGTAGAAGACCCCATGAACCGCCTACAATAAAAAAGTTGAACCCTTTGATACCTTCTACAGAATAGTTGAAGCCTTAAGGGCTCTTCCGCAGAATATTTGATGTCATGAGAGGTCTTTTACAAACGAGAAGATATCGTGAGCGGTATTCTACTGAATAGAAAACTCCCTGAACGGCATCCAATAGAATAGTTTAACACTTTATGGGCCTTCAACAGAATAATGAAAACCTTGAGGGGTCTTCGGTGGAATATTTGAACTCGTGGAAGATATTCTATAAACGAGAAGAAATCTTTAGCGGTAATCCACATAATAGAAGATCCCTTGAACGGCCTTCAATAGTATTATTGAGCCCTATAGGGGCTTTTATAAACCTTTTGATTTCGTGAGAGATCTTCTTTTATATACTTTTGATCACTTGAGGATCATTTATAAAATATATCTCCTCTCTCCAAACCCATTCGTTGGATCTTCTACCGAATATATGACCGATGAGAGGTAGTTTGAAGAATAGATTAACCATTGAGAAGGGGTCTCGCATGGCGAAAATAATCATTTTCGAAGCGGCATTAATGTAATAGAGGAGAAGGTCTCCTGTTCTTTGAAGAATACCTTACGATTTAAATTAGAGACCTCCTGATGTTCTATGAGGAAAAATTTCCGGTCTTCTTCCGGTGAAAAAGAATACCTTCTGATGTTCTATGAAGAAGAAGAAAACGTTCTGTCCTTCCTTGAAGAAGAAGACCTATTGGACTTCTTTGAAGTGGAAAAACTTCTGGTCCTATGAAGAAGGCTTTTTGATGTTCTGGGAAGAATAGGACCTTGAGATTTTCTATGAAGAAGACCTTCTAGAAGACGATAAAAAGTAATTTTAAAAAAATTTAGATCTTCGTGGGAGGATTCGGAAGGAAGCCTCTTTATGTTAAAAGACTTCCATGATGTATGAGGTTCGGAGACCACTGTAGGAAACTGGTATTGGTAAGGAGACATTCCTAGGAGTCATCTATGGTATAGGAGACCTTAGTAGTTTACTTCTATAGGTTAAGATACCTCATTAGGGGTATTTTATATACCTCTATATAGAATAGGAGAACTCCGAATCAGGCTTATATAGAATATGAGACCTCTAAAGGAGGTTTCTATTGAAAACAAAACGTACGTAGGACGCTTCTGTAGAATAGGAGAACCCGTAGGAGGCTTCTATAATATAAAATCTCCGTAGATGGCTTCCATATGATAGGAGATCTCCATAGCAGGCTTTGTGGAATATATTACCCCCATATTAGGTTTCTTTATAATAAGAGATCTCAGTATGAGACCTCTATAAAATAAAAAACCTCCATAGAAGGCTTCTATATAATACAAGACTTTCGTATGATGCTCCTATAAAATAGAAGATCTCCATATAGAATATGATACCTAGGAAATAAAACGTCCGTATGAAGCTAATGCAGAATAGCTGAACCCATAGAGGGTTTCTATAAAATAAAAGACTTCCATAGGTGTCTGGGATTTCCGTAGGAGGCTTCTTTATAATTGGATACCTACGTAGGATTTTTCTATATAAAAGGAGATCTCCATATAATAGGAGGACTCTATATGTCTCGAGACCCCCATGGGAAGACTTCAGTAGGAGTCTTCTATGTAATATGCGATCTCCGTAGGAAGATTCTTTATAATAGGAGGACTCCGTAGGAGTCTTCTATGTAAAATAAGATCTTCGTAGGAGGTTTCTAAATAATAGGAGGACTATATATGCCACGAGACTCCCGTAGGAAGACTCTTTACGCCACGAGACCTCTGTAGGAGGCCTCTGCAGGTTACAAGACCTTTGTAGGAGGCCTCTACAGATTATTAGTCCTCCATAGGAGGCATATAGGTTAGGAGACCTCCATAGGATACTCTATAGGTCACGAGACATCCGTAAAAGCCATCAGCAGAATAGCAGACTTTTGTATGAGGCTCATATAAGATAGGAAACCTTCGCAGGAGGATTCGATAAAGTAGGAGGCTTCTTGAGGGTGCTACGAAATAGTAGGAGACCTTTGTCGGACGCTTCTTTTGAAAAGATGTCCATTGATGTCCTCTCAAACCTCTGTTATAGAGACTCATATGAAATAGGTAACCAACATAGGAGATTTCGGTCGAATAGGAGACCTCATTAGGACACTCTTGTACAACAGGAGACCTCTTATATGATATAAGAGGCCTCCAATAGAGTAGTAGACCTCCGTAGAAGGCTTCGGTAGAATAGAATACCAACTTAAGTGGCTTCTTTGCAATAGGAGTTCTCCATGGTAGGTTTCTACAAAATAGGGGACCTTTGTCAGATTCCCGTAAAGGTTGTTTTTTATATCAAGGGCCCTCGAAAGAGATCCTTTCGGGACAAAGAACCAAAGCCATAAAGAGAAGAAAGTTTGTTAATAGAGTTGAGTAGTGTTAGTAGTTTTATGTTCTTCCATATATATATAAAGAAGGTTTATTTTGGTGTGATGGAACTTTTGTGTACTTATTACTATTTGTATGGCGTTTCCCAAAAAAGAACACTGTTGCCACATGCATTTAGTTTTATTTTTTTTTTCTTTTGCATTACAAAATAGAAACGCTCATAAATCAATAATAACAATATCAAGAACTCCATCACCAAGATTCAGTCAAATCGTTGTATGTTTCAGGGGGGCTGAGGGGTGGTCGGTGATTTTGAAAGAGAGAGAAGAAAGGGTGATTTTGTTGGTTGGTTGGTTGGTTTTGGAAGAAGTTAGAAGAAGACGATTGTGGTGTGATTGTGGTTGGTGGTTATGGTTAACATAGTTCCTGCACATTTCGCATAATCAAAATTCATAATGTGTGGCATGTCCGTTAAACTTTTTGCAAGAACACAATTGTAGAATTGTGTTAAAAATTGTGTCCTGGTTAAATTCCATTTTCCATAGGACGTATTTTTAACAACTTTCGTTAAAAGAATGACACATGAGTTGTTTGGTTGCTTGGTTGGTTGTTGTTGAAGATTACTACCATGCCACAATACTTGTTGCTACATTACAGAGAGGATATTCTAGTTATAAATAAACGAAAACGAATCGGTACGACTAACTACACACAAATTTTGTAAAGATTGGATTGGGGGCCCCAAAAATTCGGTATTTGCCAAAACGGAGTTGGAAATTGTAAATTACAAGAAAAAATTAAAAAAAAAAAATTAATTTTGCAAATTTTGAAAACATTTTTGAATTCATACGGGAGGACAGTAGTAACAGACATGGAAAGACTAAGACTAAGAAAAGAAAAAAAATTCGGAACAGAAAAAATATAGAATTCAATCAATTTCTATAAAAAGGGACTCTTTTTTCTACGGCATGCCATGAGTTTTTTTTTTTTTTGGACACTGTTTGAATTTTCGATTTGGTTTTGATGGTTTTGATTAAATCCATTTCGAGAGGTTATTGTGGGTTAACTGCGGATGCCTTAAATCTATCCAAAATTCTCCCAATTTGTGCCATTTGTTGTTGTTGTATCGTTGAAATGGGGGTCCAAGTATAGTTTTGGTCATCAGTTGTTGTTGTTGTGTTACTCAGCGGCAAACAAAACGCAGAATAAATACGAGTACTTTGCATAACTAAGCAAGTAATATTTTTTAAGAGGGTTTGGAGCAAGAAGAAGAACGTGGTAAAGGGGGTGGGGGTTGACTTGGGGTTTTAGGAGTTATTAATAATATTTTACAAAATCCCTGAGATAGTTACTTGGTTGGCAGCAATATATACAAAGAAATTATAAATTATTATATAGAAAATATACAAAAGCAGCAATTATTAAAAATATCACCCTTTTAAGTAAAACATTTCATTTCATTTTATGTTTATGATTGTCAAGTTCCATCACACCAAAGTAAACCACGAGGTTCTGTGTTTAGTTAGCGTTCAGTTAACAGTTGCCTCACTCCTTGAAGTGGGTGTGGTGGGCGGTTATAGTTTTTTCTTACCTAACAGTGAGTTCAAATGTAAACCAAATAATACATAACGTTTCTATAAGGAAGAAAGGATCTGTGATGTCAGGCACCTCATCTTCCTCGATTTTTGTGCCATTTGTAGTTGTGTTGAACACCTATAATGATATACATTCAGAATTTGTTTATTTGCAAAATAAAATGATTAGTTGTTACAAAAAAGATTAAGAAAAAAACAATAATTAATAGAATAATCATAATAGTAATAATGGAAAACCTGAAAATATATTCAAGAAAAATAATTTACATTTGAGGAATGAAAAACAAAAACTAGGCGGGGGGTAAAGAGAGAGAAAAATTAAGTCTATACAAAATGGTTTGAGGGGGGAGGAGGAGAACTATACTCTAATTATAAAAATACCCAAAATGATTTAATTATATAAAATCGTATATATTATAAGGTTTATTATAAGGAATAAGGATAACAAGGTTTTGGATATGGGAAAGTATGGCAACTCTATCTAAGCAAAATGCAATAAGTTATCATTTTTTACCCACTACTTACAGGAGCTTGTATATTTATAAAAAAAATTATAGGAATGTATGGAAAATTCTTGAAATTCTGTTTTCTAATGTAAAAAAATAAGAAAATTAAAATTTAAGCATTTTTTTTTGGAAATTGCACATTTATAGCGGACTTCAAACCTATAATATCATTTATATATAATAATATTTAGTTATAAAAATTATTATTTATTATATGGTATATTTTTATTATGTACAATATATATTTATATGTGTATGCATATTATTTTCTTTCCATATTTATGTTAATTATTATTTTTATTTATATCTGACCTGAATTTGTTTTAAATTATAATGTATGGCAGTGGAACAATCTTTGTTTATTATAAATATTAGAATCAATTTTATAATTTATTTGTATTTTTTATTAATAGCTATATTATAATTATGGTAAATTTTTGCTATTATCGCATTAATATTTAATGTAAATGATAAATTATAATTTATTATTTTAGTGTTCATATTATGTTTATTCCATTTTAAACGTGGCGATATATTTTTTTAACAAATATTTTCCTTATATCCAAATCAAGAAATATATTACTTTTTTGGTCACAGAACCTACCACTTTTACACAGGGACCGTAACGGTTATAACTTATATCAAATCAGGTAAAAAATAACTGTTATTATGTGACCTAAATAAAAAAATCCACTTTAATTATTTATTTTTTAACGGAAAAAATAAACGTTGATTTTTAACTGTTAAAAATGATTTTTATTTTTTCCGTCAAAAATAACAGTCTTTTTGGGATTTTTATTTCTTCCGTCAAAAATAAAAGTCTTTTTGGGATTTTTATTTGTTCCGTCAGGAAATAAAACTCTTTTACGTAAATAAGCATATAGAGTTTGGTACCAGTTATATAACCTTTGACCTAATAGTCGGGGGAATGATTCTTTAATTAATATTCATGATTTGGTACACTAGACGGAAATAATAAAAGTCCCAAAAAGACTTTTTTTTTTGACGGAAAAAATTAAAATCCAAAAAATACTTTTATTTTTGACGGAAAAAATAAACATAATTTTTAACAGTTAAAAATCAACGTTTATTTTTTCCGTTAAAAAATAATCCTTAACATGGGAACTGAGAGTGTTTTCTCAAGATCACTCAGTATCCTTAATGGGCTCCTCAATACGAATCTATTGGTATGTGACACTATTGGTGTCCCCTGTCTCTAACATGAAGATTTTTTTGTTCGCATTTTAAAAAATAACTGTTATTTTCGGTCCCTGCTTTTACAAGTTTTGCTACTTCTTCCCACTGCTGTACTCACAAACTAGAAGATTTTTCAATCAAATTTAACGGAACTCCCTTTCTCCCTCGAGAAATTTGTTCCACTGAAAATGGTAAAGGGGAATACCAAATTAGGCTGTGTTGATTTTGAAGGAGTGCCATCTAGTGTTGTCCTTTTCTCTAGTTTTCGGTTCCAGAATTTTTCAAGAGCGATTTTGACTTATGTCCCTTTTACACAATTAGGATAATACATAAAAATTAGCCTAATTGTCTCTTATTTCAAAACGGACGGGCAGGAAAGTATTCATATATTGGCAAAATGAATCGAATGTATTAGTGAATCGATTGTGTGGATTCAGGGCAATGATAAAATTTATTGCTTTGATGAAGAGGAATAAAAGCAAGACACAAACAAGTCGTTTGCCTAAATTGGCATAAATTCAAAATGCATTTAGTTTTAGTCTAGAACTTGATACCTTTGCATTTACTTCTAAGATATAATTTCAGAATAAATACAATATTGGGGGCATTTGGACAATCTAGATTCACAGACGTCTGTGCCTTATGGATCGCACAACCTATATCACTAAATATACATAATAAAAAAACCCCATTAGTACAAAAAATCCATCGCCTATTGTTTTCAAGCTTATGTCATGTATAATGGGTCTATAATTTATAAAATTAGACTTTCATACCGACATTTTAAAATGATAATAAATTGGGGTTAAACCAAAACGCATTAAAACTTCCCAACCAAACTCCCGAAGTTTCTGGTGAGTCAATGTAGATGTGTGTGGCCTAGCGTTGTCCTGGTGGAACACGACACCTCTCCTCTTGGCCAATTCTTGCCGTTTATGGTAAATTGCTATCTTCAAACGGTCCGGTTGTTAACAGTAGAGATCAGATTTTAACGTTTGGCCATGTGGACGCAACTCAAAATAAATAATCCCCTTATAGTCTCACCAAATGTATTGCAGAACCTTCTTGACCGTTAGTCCTGGTTTGGCCACCGTTTGAGGTGCTTCACCGCTCATTGACCATGATTGTTTTCGCACAGGGTTATCGTATGTGATCCACTTCTCATCTCTAGCCACCATCCGTCTAAGAAATGGCTCTATCTCATTCGCAGATGGAAATTCGATCCATTCAATTTTTTCTAAGTGGTGTGTCACCCAGATATCAAGCTTCTTTTTGAATCTAGCTTTGTGTAAATGGTTTAAAACCGTTTATTGTCAATGTTTAGCTCCTGCTATCATGTCGGTTAACTTGGACCATTTTTCCGATGTCATCGGCATTTTCGGTGACCGGTTCAATGGATTTATTTTTCCCCAGCCTAATATTATGTGTATATTAGTATTAAATATTAAACTACAGTGGTACAGAGGTCATCATAAGTACTAAAAGTTATTGTTTACCATTAGTATGGAACCGAGAGGAAAAGTTAGTTTTACTGAATGGATAAAGAAAAGTACTAAAGGATACTAAATATTTGGTTAATATTTAGAGGATGAAATGGATCAAAAACTTTTTTTTGTTTGGTTTCTGGTCACTCTATAGACCACAATTATGATCCGAAAAATCTTCACGGAGAAAGGGGTCCAGCCAAGTATCAAACATGGCTCTTTGCATGATAATCGGTCAATATTCAGCGTATTAAATGCAGCCACACTTTTGTGTGAAAAATGGCAAAATTTGCATTCAATGACACACATGAGTCGTTTTTTTGAAAGTGTTTTAAGTCAATTTTAGGTTCCGATACAAATTTTGGTTTTCTAGAATAGATTACAAAACATAATACGTTATATGTTCTAGCATGTTTAAGGGCACAGAGCCAAAACGGCACGCTAACGGCACTATGATCAAGGACGACACCTATAATTTTCGGTGATGATCAGATAATATTTTCTAGTCGCTGTAGAGGATATTATAAGCTGAACAATATATATATATATATATATACCCCAAAACCAATAAGATATTATGGTATAGAGTGTATACCACGTAGCCAACATGAGGTAATAAAATCAATTAATCGGCTCAAGAACAATAAAGCAGCAGGAGCCGATGGGTTACCAGCCGAACTATTCAAGACTGGTGGCCAGATGCTGGTCAGAAGCATGCACCAGCTGATTAGTACAATTTGGCTAGAGGAATGCAAGCCCAATGATTGGAACCTCAGCATCCTGAGTCCGTGCACAAAAAAGGAGACAAGACGATATGTGCCAACTACAGAATAGGTCTCCTTCCCATCGCATATAAAGTGTTATCCAGTGTGCTGTGTAAAGCCGCATTCGACAGCCCTATCCGTTAAGAAATGTTTAAAGCCATGTCTACGTTCGGCATTCCTGCAAAATTGATACGGCTATGCAGGCACAAGGTCAGCAGTTAAAGTAGGAAACGAGGATTCAGACAAGGTGACAATTTGTCGCGTGATCTCTTTTACATCCTGCTGGAAAAGGTCATACGAGACGCAAAGGTGAACAGAAATGACACTCTGTACACCAAACAACAAATGTTACTCGCCTACGCCGATGACATCGATATAATGGGTCTGACATTGCGAGCGGTAACATCCACCTTTAAACAAACTGAAGAGGAGTCTGCCGAAGTGGGTATGGCAGTAAACGGCGAGAAGAAGCTGATGGTATCAACGCGCAAGACGTCCAGTAGACTCGGACCAACTGTGGAACTTGAGAACTACAGCTTCGAGGTAGTTAAAGATTTTATATACCTTGGTACCACCATAAATAAAACGAATGACATCAGTTTTGGTGTCATGGTCTAAGTAAGCAGTTTTGAAACAAGGCGACAGATCTACGGACCGATCTGCGTCGATGGTGAATATCGGCGTCGAATGAACCACGAGCTTCACAATTTATACGCGGACATCGACGCGGACATTGACGGTGACTAGGCCATGTTGTGCGAATGAATGAGAATGCCCCAGCTCACAAGGCATATAAAAGTGAGCCTACTTATGGTTCCCGTAGAAGGGGAAGGCCACGAATTAGATGGAAAGAGCAAGTAGAAAACAACATCTTGGAACGTGGTCTTCCAAATTAGTGGATTGGCGCACAAGACCGACGGGCTTGGAAATCTTTTATAAGCTCGGCTTATCGAACAACCGTTCTGTAACGTAGAAGTAAGTAGAAAGTTATATTTCTTTAGTGGTTGTGCAGGTCGGCCCCGTCCGGTTATACTACACTAGCGGAGTTGATAATTGGTAGAACAGAATTCACATTCGACAGAAGTTTTCCGACTTCCGAATCCTTGATTTTTGTACTTTTTTGTAGTGTTCGTAGTGGTTTGCCGATTTGAAGAGCTTTGAAATTTGCATATACATTGTCATTACTCCTAGGATTTTTGGTATTGAAAATGGGATATATTAGTCCACGTTTTGGATTTTTTGGTATTTTGGGGAGTCTACACACTATTTTTCAACAAAATTGGCGGCAATTTAGTATTTTGAGTTCTCATGTCAAAAATGATCAATATTTGTCAACGTTTTACGATAGATCCTTGAAACGTTATTTCCCAAAAATTCTGTGTGTTTGTGTGTGTTTTTTTTTTTTTATTTTCGACATTTTTACTTGATAAAAGGGGAACAACTGTATGTTTTTTTAGTTTCATTGTTGCTTTGATTCTATTAATTTATTGTTATTTATTTATATTACATACAATTTGTTTATGATTTTTATTATTTATAATTACTTTATCATTTATATAGTTTTTATAATTTTACATAACAAATTTTGACCAAAAAATCAACTTACTTCTTGTTCCAAGACCATTTCTATTTTTGAATTTAGAAAATCTGGTTGTTTCTGGTAATCCAATTGGAAACAAAAATAAAATTTTCAAAAACAATTATTAATAATTAACAAAAATCTTATTTTTCTTGTTGTTGTTGAGAAAATCCCCCAATGTGCACAAAATGTCATCTAAAATAGTTGTGTGCAAAAGAAATTTCGGCTAGCTTCTACTATATAGAAGAGAGTTCTATACAAATCTAAACTATTGGCTATAATGCAAAAATAACGGGGAAAGTTATTATGGGGGATAATTAGGGAAAGGGGAAAATTATGGTGGGGAGTTATTTATCTGCAATAAAAAGTATACGCTTCAAATTGAAAATATATTAGTTGGTTAAGTGGGTATAGTATTTTTTTGTTTGGATTTGTAAACTATAAAAAAGGAAAATAACTAGATCCTCATGTTTATATACACAAAAGGTATAGAATAATAAAAAAATAAATAAAATTATATATAAATAATTTAAATTATAGTACAAAATAAAATAATGAAATCAACGCACAATTAACACACAATAAATTTTTTTTTGCTTTTTTCGGTTTTTGTCTTTTGGACATTTGCCACTTACCTTATAATGCTTAAATTCGGGTAATGTTTCTAGACAAAATATAACAATTGATAGCAATATAACAAATACACTAATTATGGCTACAACTCTGGCGGCTTGTGAACTTTCTGGATACTCAAAAAGTAACCAAACTTTTCTTTGATTTTCATTATCCGGCAATGGTCTTTCCTCTTCCTTAATAAAGCCTTCATCCTCTCTAAAGGTGATTGAAGAAGAAGAAATGGGAAATAGAGAAAAAACAAACGTATAACATATAGAAATATAATAGAAGAAAATTATACACAAAAAAAAATTGCAAAAAAACAATTATAATTAAAAAACATTAATAATAATTATAAAAAAATTAAAATTATTACTACAACTTAGAATTTTTTTTTGAGATTTTTTGATTTTTTTTTTTAAATTTATTTAATTTAATTTCTATTTTTTTCTAGTTTGGCCAATTGCACTATAAAATTGTTAATCAAATCATAATCACACAAATCCAGGAAGAAAAATTCAAAGACGATACCACAGCCATCATCAATTCATTGAAGTACAAATTACCAATTGTATCAAACTTTGAATTTTTACACATTTTAAAATAAAATCGTATAGAAATTATTTGAAATCAAGAAAATAATAATATTTGAAAAAAAAAACAAATCAAAGGTATAGGGAAACGAAAAGATTCTTAGAATATGAAGAGCACACGACTGTTCGATTTTGTTTTGAGTTTATTTCTGTTGTTTCTGTTTTCTTGAACGTTTTTTTGCTTCACATGTACAGGAGTGTTTTTCGTGGGCTGTTTTTTATTTTATTTGAAATTATCCTTGCTTGTGTGAAGTGTTGGTTTTTGTTCATTGTGTGAAATACAACGAATGCGTAGTTTATGTAAATTGGGTATATGTATACAGATGATGTTATCGAAAAATCGATTTTTTGTCGATAATTTTATAATTTTTATATATATCAAGGAAGTCGATTTTAATTAAATACTCAAAATAAAATTTAAATTATTTTTTTACAGTTTAAGATTTATTATAAATAACGGTATCGAAAATTGCAGGGCAATGATTTTGTGTCTTTTCGATTATTCTTCGTACGGATATGAAATGCAACACATTTTGAGACTGTTTATATCCTCCATAATTATTCACTGGTGGCCTCATAAATTATATATTCTTGATTTAAATAAAAATTCTATGTCGATTTAGCTACCACCGCGAAAGAAACGGCAAAAGTTATTGCTTTGAAGTTGTGCTACAATTCAATTTGGTCCATTTTTTGATAGAACTCCTTGGTATGGTATTTGGTATTTTGGGCGCATCTTTTTCAACTAATTTTTCTATCATTTTAAATTTTCGATTCTCGTTGGATAGACAATCTCACTACCACCAATTATGGATATTGGTTCAAGTTTGGGACCATATAATGGACCGTTATTCAGTATTTTTGGGTTGTTTGTCAACCAAATTATCTGTAATTTGTGTCAATTAATTTATTTTTGGAGTCTTACTTGAGTTTTTTTTCTAGAAAAAATGTTCCATATGAGTTTCGGTGTAGGACCCTTATAACGATACTCATATTTTTATTTATTTTGAGCAAAGTTTAAACTAAATTGGCAGCATATTTTAGGTTGTCTTTGGGTGTGAAAAATCTGCATGCGAGACAGGCGGGGAAATCCAGTTCGAGTTGGAAAACGACATAATCATCTCAGAATGTCCGAATAGTGAGGAGGCGTAAACGATGGTGAAAAAATACAAAAGACAAAAGTCGACCTAGTGATACAACACAACACCCGGAAAAATGTCTCGCAAGGAAGCTTTGTCACAATTTATCAATCAAATCCATGGAAGACCTGTTGTGGTCAAGTTAAACAGTGGTCTTGATTAGAGAGGTGTTCTAGCATGTCTGGATGGCTACATGAACATTGCCCTCGATCAAACTCGAATATGTCAATGGCCAACTTAAAAATAAATACGGTGACGCCTTCGTAAGAGGCAACAACGTTTTGTATATATCCACACAAAAGAGAAGAGTATAACACTAGTTTTTTTTCTATATATTTTTGTACAACTCATTATTTTTTTTAAATAAATAATAAATAATATAAAAAGTCAGCAAGGGCATCGGGCGCAAATGCAGAAACCAGGGTAAATAAAATATTGACCCATTGTGAGAGAGGTATCAGAATCAGAGGGCCAAAGAGTACCACCTTCGGACTTTATCTAGGCATATTAAAGATAATAGGTCGTAAAAATTTTAGTTAAGATTCGACATTCCATTCGCCTTATATTGAATTTAAAAATTTTGTTAATTTGTGGGGTAAGTAAAAGAAGGAGTGGACCAATGTGACCCATCTACGGACTAGATCAAGGCTGGGTAAAGACAATAGGTTGTACAAAATTTTGCTTAAATCGGATATTCCGTTCGCCTAATATAGGATTTATAAATATTGAACATTTTGACCATTTGTGGCTGAGGTACCAGGAGGAGTCGACTAATGGGTCCCATAGGTCGTACAAATTTTGGTTCCAATAGTCCGTTCGCATGATATTGGATTTATAAAAATTTAAAATGTTGACCATTAGTGGGAAAGGTACCATAAGAAGTGGACCAATGTGTTTCATATTCGAACTCGAACTAAATTTGTAAGAAATATTACGATGTCCAAAGTTTGGATGAAATCGTTTACTCCCTTCCAGAGTTATCGTGTTATCGGCCAGACAGACGAACGGGCATTTATAAATCTACTCCAAGTTGTCTGAAACGGATTTAGGCCAAAGAAGCATGGGGTCTAAAACCAATGTTTCGATGAGGCACATTTTTGTTGTATCAAAGTGTATATAATATACTATCAGTAGTCATAAGGCTTAGGGCATACAGCTCGCGGAAACCCCTTAGGATAAGTCCGACCTTCCTTTAATTCCTCGGAAACGGCGAACAGGAGGATTAGTTCTCTGGAGGAGCAGTAGAGCACAAAATCAGCAAAGAAGGAATAATAGCTCTCCGTCGTAAAGGCTAAGTCAATCCAAAGTAAAAGAGACTGTCACTAGAATGAATCGACTGAGGGGCTCTGGTATCCTATAAAGACCAGAAAATTCAAAAGGACTAACCGGACTTCACGAAAGAGAAGGAGAGAGACTGCCACCAGAATCCATTGACTGATGAAGGAAAACCCTAGCTCTAGTATCCCGAAGACGAGCACTATAAAGAAATTTTCCGTAGTATCCTCCCATTAAGACCGGAAATTTCAAAAGGACTTACCGGACTTCACGAAAGAGAAATATGACAGTAGCAATGGTAAGGCAGGAGACATGTCATCACCGACTGAGCCAAACCACAACCGGACTTTCACCAGAATCCATCGACTGAGGACGGAGACCCCTAGCTCTAGTGCTATAGACGAGCACTATAAATACATTTTCCGTAAAGGCCGATAATCACCAGAAGGACTAACCGAACTTCACGGATGTGCACAAAGAGGTGCTGGATGCGGTCATAAACAAGATCTTAGATCACCTTCTGCAAATGGGGACCATATCGATCTTTCTGGTTGCGAGTTTAAGGGGGAATATCTAATGCCAACCAGTGCCGAAGTAATATTGACATAGAATCAATCGACTGAGGACACAAAACCTAACTATAGTATCCAGGAGACGGGCGCTACATCGAAACCTTTCTGTAAAGACCTAGATTCCCCAAAAGGACTAATTGAAATTAATGAAAGCGGAAGATGGCTGCAAACAAATGGTAAGGAACCGCTATCGTATGCGAAGGTTGCAAGAGACATTACAGACACGAGTTGTGCTATGTGATCGACGAGAATAACGTTTCCGGCGAACTAGGTAAGAAGGTGCATAAAGATGTGCTGGATGAGGTTGGCAACAAGATCCTGGATCACCTCCTGCAAAATCCTTCCTCCTGCAACAAGATCCTGGATCACCTCGATTTCCCTAGTTGCGAGTTCAAGGGGGAATAAGGGATTAAAAATATACCCCATGTTCGGATACATAGAGAAGCCCCAGCCAACTCAACGCCAAAGAATACTGCCACCAGAATACATCAACTGATGGGTGCAATGTCGGTTATAGTATCGAGAAGACGGGCACTACATCGAAACTTTCCGCAAAGGCCGAGAATACCCAAAAAGACTAACCGGAATTAACGAAAGAGGAAGATGGCAGCAGCAATATTATGTCATATTAGATTGGGGACACGACATATACGAGTTTTGCTATGTAGAGATCGACGGAAATATCGCAAAGTAAATAAGGAGGTGCACAAAGAAGTGCTGTATCCTGTCGACAACAAGATCGTTGGATCAGCTCCTGCACGTCATACCGTCCAGGTGCGAGTTCAAGGTGGAATATCTATTGAATATAAACTGCTAAGAAAGAAGGTTGTTAGAGGTTAGAGCAGCGAGTTCATAACAGGAGACCACGCTGGTGGTGGTGGTGGAGGCTATACAAAACTCGGCCCGAACGAAATTAATGACGTTTTTACTGCGATAATGGGAATTATAGACTTGAAGCTTGTTTTGTGATTTATCAATACCCAATTTTTATTGTTACCTTAAAAATAGACTTCCTCCAAATATATATTTTTATAAAATATCAACTAATCGATCAATCGAAAAATCGAACTGTATATATAACCCAATTTATCATTTTATGTTTGTATATATTTTTTGTGACATTTACATTTGTATTAAAATTGTGTTGTGTTTCACATCGTGTAAAGTAATTGTAAATGTTTATATTTTTTTTTTTCTAAGTTTTTTATCTTTTTGTAATTAAAAACATTCTCTCTCAGGAAAATTCAGGACAATTTTTTGAGAGGCTGTGTTTTTATGTCACAAAAAGAGAGATCGTCGCTTGAGTTGAGTCAAGTGATTATTTTATTATTTTTGTATTGAACAGAGAACGAACACAGCAAAAACACATCACATCTTATCTAATTAAAAAAGCTCATGCAATGCTTTTTCTAGCATTCTTGCTTTAATTGCTTTTTTGCTTTCTACAAAATGCTGGTGGGCGTAACACAATATCCTGCTCGATGGAGAGTGGCTATATGCACACTCACACACACACAACATGACGACTAGAAGTATTGACTTGGTCCAAAAAAAATATTATTATGTTTTTTTGGCAACAAGAAAACATTTCCCTATGTCTTCATGTTAGATGTGCCGGAATGATGTGCCGCCGCCAC